CACTGGAGGGAAGGGATGCCATCCAGAGGTGGGCTGGTGCAAACCTCATGAAGTTCAACAAGGCCAAGAGCAAGGTCTTGCACATGGGGGTCAAGGCAATTCCAAGCACAAATACAGGCTGGGTGATGAGTGGATTGAGAGCAGCCCTGCAGATGCCTGTAGGGTATTAGTGCATGGAAAACTGAATATGAGCTGGCAATGTACATTCGCAGCCCAGAAAGCCAACTGTATCCTGGGCTGTATCAAGAGAAGTGTGGCCAGCAGGTTGAGGAGGGTGATCCTCCCTCTCTTCTCTGGTGAGACCCTACCTGGAGTACTGTGTCGAGCTCTGGGGCCCCCAACATAAGGACATGGACCTGTTGGAGCAGGTCCAGAGGGCCACAAAGACCATTGGGGTCTGAAGCACCTCCCTTATGAGGACACGCTGGGAAAGTTGGGGTTGTTCAGCCTGGAGAAGAGAAGGCTCTGGGGAGACCTTAGAGCAGCCTTACGGTACTGAAAGGGGGCCTACAGGAGAGATGGGGAGGGACACTTTTTCAAGGAGTGTAATGACAGGACAAAGGTTAATGGTTTTAAACTGAAAGAGGGTAGATTTAGAAATAGGGAAAAAATTCTTTGCTGTGAGGATGGAGAGGCACTGGAATAGGTTGCCCAGAGAAGTTGTAGATGCCCCCTCCTTGTAAGCGTTCAAGGCCAGGTTGGACAGGGCTTTAAGGAACCTGGTCTAGTAGGTGTCCTTACCCATGGCAGGGCGTTTGGAACTAGATGATCTTTATAGTCCCTTCCAACCCATACCATTGCATGATTCTATGAAACAACCCCTCAGTTAAAACCCTGAATTTCATGAATAGAGGGCAGATGAACCAACATTTGATTCAGTGACTGCTTTTAACAAACATAGGAACACCAGAAGTTCCTTGTGACTTGAAAGAGTTAATATCAAAGCAGTATTTAAAAGAGGCAAGTGGGATAACCTAAGCACCTATTGAACAGTTAGACTGACATTAGTAGTAAGCAACAGCAGGAAAAGGTCATCATGGGACACAATCAATAAGGCATTGAAAGACAGTAGCATAATTAACACCAATCAACACAGCTGTATGGAAAATAGGCCTGGTCATGTAAATCTGATCATTTGTATGCAGTTACATCATCATCTGATAATGTTAGTGTGCTGACAGGACATATTTCTAGTCCTAATTTCACACTATGCAGGAACTTAAAGTCACACTGTACATAAAAACCTGAATTAAAATATTCACCATACTATATCAACACTGCTTATAGTAAATTAATTTCAGAAGTGACTAACTAAATGGATAAATGGAGAGTCAGCATCCAGATAATAGATTCCTTGTCAGTTCAGCAGGAAAAAAAATGAAGTACAAAATATGGAAGCTGAAAAGAGCTACAGACTGCGTCGAAAGACAAGGATCATTACTTACTGAAACAATTTACCTGAAACATGGTAGATTCATTACTACTGGTGCCCTTTAAATCAAGACCTTGGTCTCTTTCAGGAAGATGTGCTAAGTAAAGGAAAGTTAAAGGACTACTATTCATATATCCTGCATTTCTGACCTGCACTGAACAGGCAATAAGAATAGATATTCATGTGGTCCCCTCTGGTCTTTAAATTTATAAGCCTACAAAACAATGACCCAGACATTATCACTCCCTCTGGAATTTAAAGCAATAAATGAATCATGCTTAATCCATCTGATACAGTATAAAGTGCCTTGAGTATTTCTATGGGATTTCAACTGTAATCCAGTGTTAAATTACTGGATGACTTATAATATTATCAAGCCACTTCCCTGAATTTCCCAATTTTTATCTGAAAGCAGCAAAAGTCTATCCCTCTTTGAAGCACCTCACTAGCAGTTTGCATAAATAGGGAGGCGTGGTATCAAACTCTTGATCCACAATGTCCCATGTAGACCACATTGACCTATTCATTATGAAATGTTTTTTAAAGTAATGCTATTAGAACAGGATTTGTGGTGTGTCAGAAGGTCTCCCATCAGGTACAGCTGTGACTAACACACTAACTTCACACAAATCTCTCAAACATGGCTACTCTCTCATATACCAATCATCTTCCCAGACAGTACTCTAAGACCAGTACAAGAGAACTGAAAGTCACATTACCTCCACCAAACACATGTTATTTGATCCTGTCTATTTGAAACAAAACACAGGGGTTTGAAAATGCCATTCCTGTAGACAGCTCTAGTATGGGCTGGGAAACTTTATTCTCCCAGGTTTGAAGCAAGTGCTCAAATTGCAAAAACAGTCTCCTGTTTCTTGCTCTATTTGAGATCTACTTCTGGCACAACTTTCCCTTTCAGAAGCTGAACATTTCTGACACTCATCACAGAGCAAATTAATTTCAAAGATTCCCAGAGCTCTTTTCCAGCTGGTGGCCTTTGATTTCCAATTCTTCTAGCCATAAGGAATCAAAATCTTCAAGCTGCTTCTCACAAGCTTTACTTTGAATACCATTGACATGTCAGCTCAGACAGGACGAGAACATGTTAGTGAAACTAGTACTCAATACCTGTTACCAGTGAAACAACCTACTTTATGGAAAGGAAGGCTTTAATGTGACCTTTTAGCAAGAACTACTACGAAATTACTTCCTCTGCTTTTTTTTTTTAATTTCATCTCATTTAGATGCAATTACAGAATAGTGAAACATTGTACAATTCCTTTTTTTTTTGTATATAGTTCTTTTCATAACCATCATCTAAGCACTAGAGAGTCCTCAACTAAACTGGAAAATCCACAGGCATATATAGAAAATTAAGAACAGTCAGCATGATGAATCTGTATTTCTCACTTCAGCTGGTGCCCTTCCAGCTCTGTAGCCAGTTTTCAAATCCAGGGCCCAGCCTTTGACCTTATTCAGTTAACAGCAGTGGAAGAACTGTACACAGGAACACCTTATGTGAAGGCCCAAAGAGCAACACATTGCACCCACAAGAGTCATACAGCCTCAGGATCACTGGCTGAATTACAAGACTTACAACCCCATTAACAAGAAGGCAGAAGCAGTTATTGCTTTTCAGCCAGAAGTCATTTGTACATGGGAAATGCATAAAAGGCATTTTTGTACATCCTTTGCATCACTCGGCACAGTGTCCTGAAAATGTCATCCTCAAACAGGAGATGTGTTGCACTCTGCCTGCCTTCCTTTCTTTCACGTGAGGCAACAGAGTGCTGGAGCATCGCATGCCACGTGTAAACCCATAAACATGGGATTTCCCTCATTTGGCGTTTAGCCACCTGACTGCTGTGTGATTATAACCAGAAGACAGTAACAAACCAGTTCAATCACCCATTTCACAGCCAAAACCACATCATCTGTGACTGAGCATGGCTGTTGCCAGAGAAACAGCTTTTGACTTAGATAAGGGATGGGATATTCCTCCCCAAGCTCCTCTGACCACACAGTTCCTATCACACAGCACTGTCTCCAGAGGCATCTGCATGTATGAAGAGTCCCTTGAAAGCCAGGGATCATGTCATGATGATGTCAGCTTCACCTTTCTGATCCCTGCCAGCCTCTATCAGCCCCACAGCCTGGGTTGGAGAAGGAGAGAGACACAATATAGGATCTCCTACACTGAGGTTTGGAGTGGTAGGAACGTCCTTGCCAATGACCTGGGTTTGCTTTCTCTTTGCTCCCATCTGCTTTCTGCCCTCAATCTGATTACCACAGAAATGTCACCCCTTGGGTGCCCCCTCACCATGCACAGTGCTGCATGGTAGAACCATGCCCTCAGGCTTTGCTGAGGTCCTGACCCTCTCCGAGTGCTGGCTGCTCTTGCCAGACCTTTCTGGCTCCAGGTCTCCCCAAAGGAAAGAGCAACAGGTATGCGGGGTTGGTGTCAGAACTTCTCTAGCCAGGCTGTGTTTTATCACTTGAGGAACAGATTCAGACCCGGCCCCAGGAGATGCGTACACAGGGAGGCATACGCTGGGCTACGTGGACAGTTCTTGCTCTTCCTCATGGTTGCTCAGCCAGCAGAGCATAGCAGGCTTTCACACCCCCCTGCTGCACAGGGAAAATAAACTGTCAGCCTGCTGTACAACTAAGGAAAGTATAAGACCACAGGAAGAGGCTTTGTCCTCTTTCACAACCTGGTCATCACAAAAAGCAATCTCAGAACTCCAGATTTATTTGGTCCATCTGAGGTTACCCCTGTCTGAGCCAAAGCCAGGGATGTACCTAGACAGCCTGCTTGGGGGTAGGCTAAGAAGAGGCAGACTGGGGCCTCCCTCATCCCCTCCAGGGTTTGGCAGTACCCCATGCAGTCAGCCTCCCTCTGGAGCCTACGCTGTCCTATCTCCATTTTATGAGTTATTTGAGGCTTTGGGACCACTGTCAGCCTGGTACTGGTGTGCAATCAAAAAGCCAATGAGCCCAGCCAGGTAGCAAATGCTGCCCCACAATTGGCGAGCATAGCTGTCTTTTTTCCAGGTAAAACATCATTGCTGACCCCCCCAGATGCTTCAGCAAGCATTGTTATTGCTCATAACTGAACACAACCTCATGCCACTACAACACAACTTTATCAGGATCCATGTCTTGGTCATCGCCTAGTTGACAAAGTTATGCCTTCACAAGCACGAAAGACCATCTTCAAATATTTTCATATTATCTCAGAAAGTAACTGGATTTAGTTTAGATATATAGTACATTGGTTTAGGTTATTCATATTTCAGTATATATTATACCTACCAGACAGAAACCAAAGACATTAGGAAAACAAAAGCCTATTTTTTGTTAGATAATTCCCCCCAGTAAAATAGCCTCACAGTCTGCTTTGAAGTCATTTATCTCTGTGTTTATACAATTGTTAGAGGGAGTTTTCTTTTCATTGCATAGACAAGCACTAATATAAAAATCAAAGACAAATTGCAAAAGAGTTCTTTGGTGGTAAGTACATTTAAAAAATCAAATCAGACATTATTAGTACAGAAGACAAGCTTACCCAGAATGCTGGAAAAACTAATTTTACTTCCATTGGTGATAGTTTGCCCTAGAAGACAGTCCCAGGGTGGAAACCTTTAAATACAAACAAACTCATTAGAATTACAGTAGATAACAGTGGCATACACCATCAAAACTTTTGTAAACACAGTGCTCAAAACGAAACATCCTGCTCTTCTGATTATGATCCTGTCCAAGTTTCCTGGCATTAGCTCACAGATAAGCTGGTCTGTGTTAGGAGTGAGTGAAATGAAGTAATGCACCTACTTGCAAAAGGGGAAGATGATACAAAAATCAGTGAAAGAAGAACTCCATTTTTTCTCTTCCTTTTCCTGTGGAGTATCTTTGGAGTAAGTCAGTGCTCTCGCGCCAAATTTAGGTATGCAAGATGAAGGGGAAGCACACCTAGTCAGGCTTTAATGTATTTACATAGATCATTATTTTTAAGGGACTCTGCTATTTGACTCCTTGTCCCTACGCCACATTTTGATGGGATAAGGGTGATGCATTACTATTCAGGGAGATTTAGCCAAATTTGCTTATGATGAGATGACCCAGAAAAAGTATGGAAGGAAAGAAGAGAAACAAGAAAGGGTGAGGAAGACAATCCAAAAAATATACAGAAGGAACTTCTCCCAGAAGTCAGTAAAAAAATTGCAATCAGACAAAATAAGTGTTGTGAATCAGAGAACATGAGTTATATCAAAAGACAACAGGTCAAGACAAAGAAGGAAAAAAAAAGCCTAATAAGAGGTCACGAGATGTGTTTTTACCAGCGGTAAAAGGTGCCAAATTCAAACTGCTGAGAATTGAAGATGAAACTAGAAGAGGATCTCCCAAGTAGGACTGACCAGATCATAAGATGATTTTAAAAGCTGAAAAAAGTTTTGGGTTTTGGTTGTTTGTTTAGGGTGTTTTTAAATAAATATTATGTCAGTGATGTGCATTTATTTGTATTATGAGGGGAAAGAGACAGGAGATAGAGTGAAGACCTAAGAAGTACGAGTGCAAGGAAGACCAAGAAGAGGGATGTGACTGTGGGACAAGTAGAGCAGGTGGAGATCAGAAGAGACCTGAGAGAACAGAGGTAAAGGCAGAGTCAGAGAGAGAATGGGGGAGAACAGCTGAGGAAAAAAGGGGAAATCATTACATTAATTTTTTTCCTTGTGGTAAAGATCAAGTGGAGAAACTTTAGATAAAAAGCTTGAAAATATTAGAAGATGAAAGCTATACGTGGGATTTTAGGTAAGAGATTTAATCAAATAATCTTTAAAAATGTGTTATTCACATATAACTGGTGGTCACTGTTTATGGTAAATTTCACATAAATGCAATAAATCCCAAATCCAGAGTAACTCACAGCAAAACATGCACTAATTACAATTAAATTTATATTTTAATAAGAAATTCCAGGTATGTTCTACTTTTTCCCCCCTCACCTTCCATTCCCAGCAAGGCAGATTGCTTCTTTTCAAATAACTCAGTTAAATTAAGTTGTATGTTCAGCCTCATTAGCCACCATCTCCATTCCCCTGCGGTTTTAATTAGATAGGTTTCTCTGTGCACAGCTACCTCAATCCTTCCCCCTTAACAAACCCACAGTGTTGCCTTTTTTTTTTTTTAATGTTATCATTCTTCAAATGCTCCTAATTACACCGGAGGCAGCCAAGGCGATCAGGGAAGAGCAGTGGTCTCCCATGGAGAAGGCCAGGCAGGAGCTGCAGCCCGCAAGGCACGCACCCCCCCTTGGGCAGGGTGCTCTTCCATGCTGTTGTACCCACTTTAATTAAGACACCCCACCAGTATGACAGGCTCAAGCAAAGGGTCAGACCCTCTGCACAGACACCAAGCCCAAAGCACATGGAGCTGAATTCTCTCAGCAGCACCCTTCCTGCTCCACGAGTCCCCGTGCTGATCCACCACCTTCACACCCAGCACATGAAATCAGAGGGCAGGAATGAGGCCCTGACACCCCATCAAAGCTATGGGACACGGGAGGCCCCAGAATTCAGGATGATACCTGGCTGCAGCTCTTTCTCCCCTCAAAGCACCCACCCTGGCAAGCCCAGCACATCCCTCCAGACATCAGACCGTAGCAGTGTCCCACAAGACAGAAGGAAGGCTCAGGAGGACTTGTTCCAAAGGTCTGACCTGGCCTTTAGTCCATTTTTTAAACAAGCACAGGAGCAAAGGTATCAACGTAATGAGATGACTTATTTCCAGCTTAAAATGGGGGGAAATGCTGATGTTTCAGGAAAAAATAAGCGGGGAGGTTGAGTTTTGCCCATAAGGGGCAGGATTTCCACTTCAGCCACTATTTCACATTATTATCAGAAAAAAAAAAAAAAAAAAAACAAAACACTACAAATCCAGCAAGAGCTGTTGGTAGAAAGCCACTCAGAGAAAAGGACTTTTGCTCCACAGCTACCCTGCAGCCCCAGAGGAGAGTCTGGGGAGCTCAGCACCACTCCCGGGCTATTCCCAGCTGCCCAGGATCAGCAGCAGCACAGCACGGATTAGAGCAAGTTGGATTTGTTACATAAGGGACATGTTGCTCGTGGCTTCTCTCACATCCCAAAGACATTGCTCTTATGTAATAGGAACAATCAAACAGGGCAGCTTTTCCATGATTCAATATTTTTTAAAAGAGCTGAGCAGCTAAAAATTAACACGGTGGGTCTAGTCAGACTTAGCGTTATGTTTTACACTCTAATCAGTTTAACCTTAAAGCTGCTGGAGATTATAGGGACAGGGACTCAGCTCTCACTTCACCCAAAGCCTTGAAATACAGAAAGGTGAAATAAAACAACCTTTGTCCACCTTCCCAATGGATCCTCAGTGGAGGGCAAAGCTTGTATCTTCTGAATCAAGCCTGAGGGCTTTCATTTCTTCAGCATCAGTATCTCGCTGGCTCTATTGACATTAAAGGAATACTCATATGAATAAAGGCTGTGAACCTGACCCTGAACTTTGCCTTGTGGGCTGGATGGTGGCTGCAAGCCACTCTGACACTTGGGCTTTCATCAATGAAAAATGCAAGTTCATTTGGCAGAGTCCCCAGAATTCCTTGTCGTCTTAAGTTATTACTGTAAATAATTCTGATGGTAATGCACACAATTTTACATGATACATCTAGGCATACACATGGTAAAGGAAATATTAAGAAAATCCATTTATTCTGTAAGCCACTTAACTCACATTTGGGGCATGCTCCAGCAATATCAAAGATAGGTAGATGCAGATGTTTCAGGAAGCCCTGGCTGGCAATACGAACAAGCTGCAGTCATATCACGATTAGCACCTTGCCCAGCCTGGTTTTGTTTTAGAAACTCGCTCATTTCTTTCTAGCTTACAAACTAAGTTTAAAGAAAGTTTTCCATTCTTTTCAAATGCTCTTTTACGGTTTTCTTAGTTTAAGATCTGAAAAATGAAAGAACTCTTTTCATGTGGATCTCTGATTTCCTATCTAGTCTCCTCGCCTTCTCAACCTTTCAACACACTGAATAAACAGCCCAATTTTAGTGACCATTCTGAATACCTGTTTTGATCCTCACAGCATTAAATCCCAAACAATGTATCCAGATTCTGACCGTGATACCACAACCCTGCCGTAAGCACTTGCTCCTGATCCCCGTAACATTTCTAGTCTTGTGCATGCAGCTGTTAGATTTCACCAAGGCTCATATAGATTGTTTCCAGAGATTGTTTTACTGTTTTTCCCATTTTAAAGCCTCACTATTATATTGCACCAATAGCTAAAAACCTTTCATCATAGCAGCAAGAGAAGAACCTAAAATCTTGGTGATCTGGTAGACCAGAAGGAACACATTCATCCTGAGAGCACACCGAAGTGTAATTTACTTCTTAACATCTTACCTGTGCTCAACATCCTGCCAGGTTTCCCTGTGCACATCACGATCCCTCCCAACATTCTGGCATGAGCAAACTGCATCAAGCTTGGAAATGCTTAATACAAAGCTTTACTTCTCCCCCCCATCAAATCTAATTCTTCCTCAGTAACACTAACGTACCCTGTAGCAGAGAAATACATTACTTGGGAGTCATCTGCTCCCTCTGAATTTTTCTGGCAGGATAAACTTGAGAATTATTATGAGGATTGCCCTGGACTGAAAAAAATTCGTGTCTTTTAAAGGGTTGTTGTTGTTCCACGTGCCCCATGCAAAACTTGGCAGCGACAACACATGCCAGAGGGCAAAAGCACTATTGGAACATCTCTGTTCAAGCTATCCTTGCCTGCCAGGCTGGCTTTTTGGCAGCCTTAGCATTTTGCCATAACTTACAGCACCTTGTGGGCATAACAAACACAAAAGCCAAATCATTTAGGATAAGGTATCAAATAGTTAAAATTCAAAAAGTAAATCTTACTAGATAAACTAATTAGACCAGCATGTGGTTTATATGCTTGTTTACTTTTTGACTATGATTTCAAAGGGAAGACATTCCCCTGTAAGTGTTTGGTGATTATGCCCATGAAGCAAAACTCACAGCTGTGCAAAGAAGAACAAGTTATGCCTTTCTTTTAGCTTTGCATCCCATGCACTAGCTGTTTCAAAGAACTTTATCTCAGGGCAGAATAGCCCTCAGGCTCATATAAGCAACATCAACCTGTATTATCCCATCATCTGAATGAAGAGTCATGATTACAGGCTGGGAGGGGAATCCAAAGAATATTTTCAGCTGATGCTTTTGCTAGTTTTGAGGATTGCATAAAAATCACTGATCTGTACATGATGTCACTAACAGCAAAAGCCTGGGAACTGCTGCTGTACCAGATGCTTCTGGGGATTAAGTCATTTGCAGAGACTTTCGATGTGGATGCCTCTGCTGAAACAAAATGGACTGCTCCATCCACAGACCCCAAATGCCCTTCACGAGTGGGCCAGCATACTCCTTTCAGTTTTTGGAGGAGAAGCTAAGGCACAGGCTTAAGCCAACTTTACCACCCTTATACAGGAACATAAACTTGGGGGTCCTTGACTTCCAGCCAGTGCACCACTGATGCCACTTTCTGTGCAGCAGTACCTGGTGTGCCACACCATGCCA